ATGATGTTTATTAATTTGTGTTTAAAAAGGAACACCGTCGTGATTTTCGAAAGCTTCACTTAGTAAATGTTTTTCTTGCTTCTAACTGTCTGTTTCTTTATCCGATGTCATTAAGAGCCCATTTATGTCGTTTGGAACTGAATTGCTATATTACTGTAATGCGGATTTTATGCTAAGGGGTGTCCTCTGTATAAGCTTTTTCCGTTGTAACGGAATATCGGAATAGGAGAAAAATGCATAAAATATTTACTTAAAGCATTTTTTGACACTGAATTTCTGGCTGTTTCTCAGTCAGTTTTCACAGCTATAATTTATGAATATGATTTGCAATAACTTAAGTAAAAAATTTTCTCCTGAACCAATTCATGCCTGCTTGATAATATTGCATAGTACAGTTAGTAGGTATCCATAGTGCTCTTAGGTACTACTCTCTTAAGCTTAAAGTTCCAAGCATATATTTCTGACATTACCATTGTGCTACACTTGTGTTGTACTTGCGTTTTCCGGCGGAAATACCTGTGCCCATGGTCAGTACTTGTCATCACTGTTCTGTAATCGAGACAGATTTAAGTCTACTTTAATGTAAATTATATGGGTATAGATTTAAAATAGATTTTTGTGCAAATATAAGTTTTACGGAAGTGGTCCTGTGTATTCAAAAGATTGTGGACATAATAATATGATTTTGTTTTGTATATGGCACGTAATTCTTAGTCGGATGATAAAGCACGGCTGATTTTCGTTTCTTGTCTGATGGTTCTGCTCATCGACTTGGTAAGCGATTGGTTCTTCCTGATGTTTTTTGTTGTCCGCCCCAGATGGGATGCTCTGAATCAGAAGATGTCTGCTCTGTGCGAAAGAAAATAATGAGAAATTTAGCAAACCTTAATTTTCGTTCCTGACCTCTGATATATGTTGCTAGCATGACATCGTAGTATGATGTATTATCTATGGTTGATGGATAAATATGTTGTCCAACCTTTTAGCCATGAAGCGGTTGCAAAGTTGGAAATTTTTGGAATAGGTCATTATGGATCTTGTACTTTCACAAAATTCTTGCAATTTTCCAAAATATGGGTTTGTCGTTTTCTGTGTTAGAGATTGTACAAAGTTACGGATTGGTGGTTGTCGGAATGATCAAGAAACACAGGGACCCAACGGTAAATCAGAATGGGTGCTTTAATGTTGGGCAGTGTGTGGCTGTTAGTTTTTGTGCAGCTTTTCACAAACTTTTGTTCTGTGGTGTTATCGATATACGCTTAGCGGTTAAAGTTTCTGTATCGGTGCTATGAACTTTGTTGCTAGGCCGTAAGGGTTATCTGCATTTGCGACTATGCGCTTCAAGCGTTGTAGCACACCAGAACTGCAACTGTTGCTTTGGGAAGTAGGTCTCCGGAAGCAAGGCGTAGTACAGTCTTTCCATGTAAACCGACCGGACGAAGCCTGTTAATATGGTACTGTATCTGTTCTGAGCAATGTTTCTGCCGTCATTCGTTTTTGAACTCAACTTTAGGATTTAGGGCCGTTTAAGCTAATCGCTTCGGTCAAAGCAAGCGTTTA